CCCAAAGTCTCAAGATGCGGCTTCCGACACTCTTTCTGCTGATCATGAGCGTTTCTGTTTTCGCCCGGGCGGAGATGGGAGAGGATCTACCGAGGAGCACATCGAATTATACGCTGACAGATTAGTCATAGGCTCTGGAAACAGCAACGTCTTGCGATGACTACCAAGTAGGCATCCCCGCTAACGTTTTGTGCACGATATATTAACCATTCGGTCTAGACAATTCTGGAGAATCTGCATGGCGTAGCCAAGTATGGTGATGATGCCTATGGTGCAATGGCGATTGGTCTATGCATAGCCACAGACGAAGCATCGAACGATGTATGCGAAGGTCTCATGTCTTTAAAAGCACCTTCCATGGCCCACTCGTTGCGCAACATGGATATCCCATCACGCACTTCGACTATGTTCTGTAACGCACTGTTCGGGCTGTGCGATTTGCCCGCAGTTAGCAACTACACCTTGCCAATCCCGCCCTCCAAGTCTACAGGCTCTCATTCCGTTACGACGAGGACTAGAGCCCCGATCCAAGTTGTGCACATCAGCGATATACATGTCGATCTCACTTATGAAGTGGGCACCACCTACAACTGCACTGAGGAGATCTGCTGCAGCTCTTTCGTAACTGAGGATGCGCCTAATGCTACGATGTATCCGGCTGGGCCATGGGGAAACCACGCCTGTGACTTCCCACTCGATCTGGAGTTGAGCCTCTACAATGCAATCAGGGTAGCTGTGCCGAATGCATCCTTCACACTGTTCACCGGAGACATTGTCGAGGGTGCGGAGTGGTTGACCACAGACCAGGAAATAGTTAACGACATCAACTCGGCATACGACCACATGGTACTCAACGGTCTCGATCTGGTGTACGCAGCGGTGGGAAACCACGAGGCTAATCCCGTCAACTCGTTTCCGATACCCGACGCGAGCATCCCCGCCAACCAGAGTCACCAGTACATGTACGACACCTTGGCGTCTAACTGGCAGCAGTGGGTCGGCACGTCCGCTGCCAGCTCTGCAGCGTCCCACGGGGGATTGTACGCCGTGCTGCACCCCAATAGCAACTTGAAGGTAATAAGCTGGAATACCATGTTCATCATGAAGGAAAACTTCTGGCTCTACACTCCCAACATGTCGACCGACTCGGCCAGGCAATTCTCTTGGCTCGTGGCGCAGCTCCAGGCGGCCGAGGACGCCGCGCAGCACGTCTGGATCATCGGACAAATCCCGCCGGGGCGGCCCGACTTCATGTATGATTACTCGTACTTTTTCGACCAGATCGTGCAGCGGTACCACGCGACGATTGCAGCGCACTTCTGGTGACACACGCACAAGGACCAGATCGAAATCTCATACTCAGACTACAGCGCGCAGAGCGCCGCCACCGCCAACGCCGTGCACTACGTGGCGCCGGCTCTGACGCCCACCAGCGGCAATCCCACGTTCCGCGTCTACAGCGTAGACCTGGACTCTTGGCAGGTGCTCGACTACACGGTGTACGTAGCCAACATGTCGGCCCCGGCGTATCAGACCGACGGCCCGCAGTGGCGAAAGTACTACAGTGTGAAGGAGGCGTACGGCTCGCTGCTGGATCCGCCCATCACCGATCCGCGGACACCGCTAACACCGCTCTGTTCTGGCACAATGTGAGTGTGCTGTACGAGGATGACGATGTCGTGTTCCAGGAGTACTACGCGCGCAAGTCGCGAGGGTACGACGTCTTGGCCTGCGATGCCAGCTGTAAGGGCGAGCGAGATCTGCCAGATGCGCTCCAGTCAAGCCCAGTATGCATGCTACGCTGCAGATGCGAGCGTCAGCATCAAAGCCAAGAAGAAGCGGGATGCCACTGGTGCTGTGGTGGACAGTCGGGGTGATGTGAATGATGATCACGGAGCCGAGTGCCCTAGGAGTCGTCTAATCAGGGCATTCCGGAGAGCTAGGATTATATAATCCCAATAGGCTGTCATACAGTAACGAGTATATCGATAATCATAATGATATTGTTTGAGTGTAACTTTACTCACTCAACAAGATTCGGCGTAAATTGATCACTAATCACAAAATGCCCTATGCGGTAGCTCCACAACGTTATGTATACTTGTTCACTAAACAACATGGCAACACGCTGGAAACACTCAAGAATTTGCGCGATTTTACGAGAATCGAGATAGACTTTATTGATTTGGTTCCCGCGTTGTGCGAATTGTACAATTTGAAAATATGATGCAGTTTGGAATACCCTACTTGTTCCAACGCCATGGAGTATCAGTTCTCGTAGGGAACCGCGCGGTTCTCCTTGGCCCACAGCTGCTCCCCAGCGCTCTTCCACGCAGGTGGGATGAACCCGTTGACCTTCCACAGCCGGCGCTCCGTCTCGTCGACGTGGAACTCCCAGGCGTAGCCCTTATCAGCGACGTGCGGCTTCAGCAGAGCGTCAATGGCGGCCGTAGCGCGGTGATACCGGGCGTCGTCCTCTTTGGGCACATGAATGGCGATATGGTCGATGGTGATGCGCACAAAGGGCTGCTGGCCCGCGCGGGTCTCGCCGCCCACCCAGACGTCCCGGCTGCCCAGCTTGATGAAGTTGGCGACCACGTAGAAGGCGGGCAGGCCCAGGTCCGTGTAGAACTTGGTGATGTCGCGAGCTAGAGCGCCCTTGCTCTCCTCGTCGACAAAAGTGTCGTCAGTATGGTAGATCAACCACAAAGGCATTTTGAGCTATACAGGACAAGAAAAAGTAGGGAGTATGGGGATTTAGAAATGTAAAAAGTGTGTTGATGGTGTTTCTAAAATGTGACTGATGGTGCCGAGACGGAAAGTTCCCGACTATTTCCACCGGACTTGCTACTAGTGTGGTCATGAGCCTCCTATATATACGCCACCGGACCCATGCTTCACTCTTTTATCGTTTGGATAGGCAACTCAGACTGATTGGATTGTGGACGAGGGGCTGATCTCGGAAACATGCCTGACAAATTCAATATCGATTCAGAAAGGACAACGATGCAAAAACGGCCAAGTTGTCCATCCTACCTAAGGTTGCGAAGTAAGCCATGGTAAAACAACTCAGATAGTATTCCAATAATAATCATGTCTGGCTCTGCCTAATGTGTATTCTGCCGCTGGCAATATTGGTGGAGATACTAAAGTGTGGCTAGTGCTGTTCAATGCTGCCGAGATTTGCGACATTCGACCTTGATTAGTGATCACCGAAACACCAAGCTTATGAAGCATCATGCTACCATCACAACAACAATTTTTTTATCAGGACACGTTATCAGGACTCGTAGTCGTTCTGGAAAGGATTATGTCGAAGGTCGATCTCTCAGTGTGCCCCTCTATTCGCAGCTTGATAAGCATGTTCAAGCATGTTCACAAAACAACAAAGTCGCCTGGCAACTGCCGAACTACCAGTTAGATATAAAGACCATGGTAGACACGCCAGCGAGAAATATGACTTCCTGCTAAATAGATGATGATAAATCGTAAAACATTACAACATTACTCTCATTCTACTCACCGCTTCTGAATGGCTTCTCCCAAAGTTTTCATCACCGGCGTGACGGGTTTCATTGGCTCTCAGGTCGCTGAGGCGCTCCTCAAGGTAGGCTACCCAGTCCGCCTGGCCATCCGTAAGGCGGAGCAACAGCAGACCTTGGAGAAGTTATTTTCAGAGCACCTTGCTCAAATTGAGTTTGCCGTCGTGCCTGATATTACCGATCTCGATAGCCTTCGAGAGGTCCTTGGCGGTATCGAATATGTCTGTCACCTCGCATCCCCTATGCCCGGCCACGGGTCTGACTTCAAGACGGGCTACCTCGAGCCGGCTGTGCTAGGCACTACTACAATATTGGAAGCAGCGCAGTCTCTCAAGAGCATCAAGAAGGTGTTGGTAATGTCATCGGTCTTGGCCCTGATACCACTTGGTACATTGGAGTCCTCTGATATTTCAGTTACCGGTACGTGATTGACCGGACCGGCTTACCAACCATGAACCCATGTTCTGGAAGCTAATGAAAACCCTGTTGAATTAGATAACACCGGAACTGTGTTCCCCATAGACGTCGACATGCCAATTCCTGATGGGTTCGCCGGTCATGTTGTCAAGTACCAATCGTCCAAAATCCTAGCGCACCAGGCATACCGGGACTGGGTTAGCGAGCACCGACCGACGTTCGCCACCGCGTCCTTCCACCCTACCTTCGTGCTCGGGCCCAGCCTGGTGCAGGCGACGGCGGGTGATATCAGCGGCATGAACGCCCTGTTCTGGGTGTCGCTGCAATCGGATCAGCCCAAGATTCCTCCCACGTGCGTCGACGTGCGCGACGTCGCCAAGGCCTTCGTCCGGGCTCTCGAGAGGGATCTCTCTGCGGGCAGTAGCAGCAGCAGCAGCAACAATAGCAGCACCGGGCCGGAGTATATATTGTCTGGGCAGGTTTTCACCTGGGACGATGTGGTTAAATTTGTAAAGAGGGACTATCCTAACATCGACGTCAAGCTCAACCCTCCGTTCCATCAGCGTATGGTGGCAGACACCAGCCGTGCCGAGAAAGACCTGGGGCTGGAGTGGCGATCCATGGAAGATCTCATAGGCTCTGTCGTAGATCAGCAACTGAAGCTGCAGGAAATGTAGATACTGTCGATAATTTCTATCGCACATCAGGAAGAATGTACTGCGAGTAGTCATCACAATAGAGCACCAAATATTGTCAATATATCCACTAACATAACTCTGGGCATCGCGTACGTGCCGATGCCAAACCTTTGGGTCATATCTCAGTGCCGTCCCGGTAACTGTCTAATCCTACCCCCGATGGTAGTGTACGGCTGGTAAAAATTTTTTTATTCTTTCAAAATACTTTAAGAAGCTTCACCACGAACCCACACAAGAATGGAGTGTTGGGCCACGACAAGTGCGCACGAAATGGGGGTGGGTATGCCGGCCCTGTTATTTGAGCTATTCTAGACCCGCTCATCGACACCGCCAAGAAGCGCAAGTCTCTGTGGCTCAGTTGGTTAGAGCGTCAGTCTCATACTCCAAGTATGACTCGATAACTTCGGGACATCTGAAAGTCGCCAGTTCGATCCTGGCCAGGGACAGTTTCTTGATTTCTTTTTGCCGCTTCTGCTAATTTTTGGGGAGGTTATGCTCGCTTGCAAAATGCAGGTTAAATTTTTTTTTACCCTCAGCCCCATGCTCTCCAGTTTTTGACACTTAGGGTAGAATTTTCTGCAATTCAGTATCAATTACAGTTCGATCCCCACCAGCGCCGTGCATCTATGAATCAGGATAAGTTAGCCACTTGGAATTGGGATGGTTTCGGTGTTGCCTGTGGCAGAAAATTATTTTGATAGTGCTTCATCTAATCGACCATGAAAGCTTGGCACAATCGGAAGAGTTGCACTTCGTCAGTGACCTTGCCAGCTTCATGAGTCAAACGTAAAGTTGATTATATTTCTGGTAGGTACGGCGGAGAGTTCCTTTGCAGTGAAAATATGCTCTTAGCTCCTGGAGATTTCTGGGATGTCGAACAATAGCTTTTGACATCCACCGTGGTCAGAATATCTACATAGAGCGGTCGGAAATTAATAGCATGCCATTCGTGAATTATGGGTGAGCGCAAGCGGCGTAGAATATAGCCAGGAAAGATGCAGCCTGGTAAAGCCTTTGGCAAAACAATGCCATCATGTTACGTGGCGGTCGGAACGCGAAGGACTTCAGACCCAAAAGTCGGACACAACTCCAGCCCCGCGTCAATAAATAAGCAAAAGGAGAGGGGGGGGAATCGAAGGAAGAAGAAAAAAGAAAAATAGGAGTAATGCTATATCACCGACCCTGAATCCCCCACTTATTCTACACCCCTTATGTCTTGAATGGCGAATTGGAGTCAAGCTCAACAGAGTCTTCAAACATAATCGGAGTATGAGGAAGGCTAAAAAACTTTGATCGTTAATATTTTAAATCACCGTCCTAAGTGATAGGTTGATAATAGCTCGACGGTGGCGGCGTGTCCTCCGGCAGCGCTGGGCCAGACAAATCTCTCTCGACGTTGGCGCCTTTCGCAAGCAGTATCTTGACCACAGCCCTCTGCCCGTTCTCTGAAGCGTATGATAATGGCGTCCGGCCATCCATATCTTTTGCCGTGATGTTGGCTCCTTTAGCGAGCAGCAGCTCGACCACAGCCCTTTGCCCATTCTCTGTAGCATGTGATAACGGCGTCCGGCCAAGCCAATCCCTCTCTTCAACGTCGGCGTCATTCGATAGCAGCAGTTCCACCACGGCCTCGTACCCTCTGGCGGCGGCGTTTGATAATGACGCCCGGCCTTTCGCGCCTTTAACGTCAATATTGGCGCCTTTCGCGAGCAGTAGCTCGACTACGGCCGCGTATCCTGCAGCGGCGGCAAACAATAACGGAGTCCTAACAATAGAGTCTCTCGCCTCGATGTTGGCGCCTTTCGCGAGCAGTAGCTCGATTACGGCCATGTGGTTGTTCTCGGTGGCATACGATAAGGGAGTCCTGACAATGTTGTCTTTCGCCTCGACGTTGGCGCCTTCGGCAAGCAATAGCTCGACCACGGCCGCGTGCCCTCCAGCGGCGGCATACGACAATGGAGTCCTGGCAGATTTGTCTCTCGTGTCGATGTTGGCGCCTTTGGCAAGCAATACCTTGACCACAGCCGTGTGCCCCGCGGCGGCAGCATACGATAACGGCGTGCAGCCATCTCGATCTACATGATCGACGCTGGCGCCTTATACTAGCAGCAGCTCGACCACGGCTGCGTGGCCGTTCTCCGCCGCCCAACGAAACATTACCCTTTTATCAAGTGATGCGAGGTCGCACAAGAAGTCCGTTATGCTAGCAAATGGTACCTCTGATATAGAATCTGAATCGCAATGACATAGATGCGAAACTGTGGCGCGTATAACTTCCTTGGCTGATTTATTATAGTCTGCCTGCAACGTGGAGGTATGCGTTATATCTATACAAATCCCCAGTAATGCATAGATTTTATCGTAGCTGTCTGTTGCCCGCGCCGATGAGAATCTGATAAGCAGTGAGTAAAGATCTCGATCATGGTAGTTCATTTTTGCTTTTAAAGGCCCTGGCATAAGGTTGAGGATTGGCTGATATCTTTGGTTGTCAACGTGGCGAATATCGATCAGACATGGACTCACAACGAAGATGCTTGCTGGAACAGACCTTCTTCCACAATATACTAATGCATCACGAGCATTTGCAACTTCCTGTAAAATCCATATCCGGGAAAACCAAGGCTGGGTTAAGACGTGTTCTAGTCCTTCTCTTTGTCTTTGCTCCATTGCGTAATGTTGCTTTTTCAATTTGGTCTGTACCTTTTGCCAAATCATAACTAACTCGGCGTTTTCAAATGTCCAATCAGACCAGTTACGATTCAAATTTGAATTTGGCAGATTTTTCAGAATCTCTTTCTGGAAACTCTCCAAAACAATCATCAGAAACTCTGTTATCCGTGTTGGTTCGCTTATATAAAAAAGAACACGCTCAGCACTTCCGAATATATTTCTCATCTGTTGAACTTGACATCCCCGTTCTATTTTATCTTCTTGGTTAATGCAAATAGCATCAATCCATAGCATCCGGTCTGTCTTAGGAGAACGTATATCGCGAAGTATAACACTGAGGTTGAGAGTGATATGTAATTGTTTCCCATGTATATCGATTGTATCGGCTTTCTCAGTTGAACCCCAAGTGTACGATAGAGCCTCGTACTGATTTTCCTTGTCTAATGTCGTATGAACTAGTTCGCATTCGATATTTCGTCCAACTCCTTTCTTCAGGCGCAATAGCCTGAAAGCACCTTTTTGACCTTTTAAAGGCTCATATTCAAAGCTGTTCTTCTCCATTTGGGAGAAAATGTATCTGCAATGTTGTTCGTGCGTAACAGTGTTGAAGTTGCGCTATTGCCGTACGCAATCTTGGTCTTGGTTGCTTGAGAAAAGCGGTTAGTAATTCGTAGCAAAAGTGAATGGGAACATGATCCCTTTATGAGAGGTCCAGAGATTGTGGCCATATTCAGCCTCACGGAGCTGAATCGAGCGGGGTCAAACCATACTTACTAGGCATCCTTTATGCAAAAGTTTCTGGTTGCTGATTGCCTTTTCCTTTTTCCTTTTTTTTTCCTTAACCAGCAGCAGAAACAAGTCATGGCGAGCCGTTTCGTTTTTTTACTGTATTACCACTGTACAGTACGTACAGTAATTAGAGACAATATTTGGGGACAAATACAGTGCACCAGAGAAGGCTGCAGGGCGATTGCACTGTGCGTCATATATAAGTTCAAGCTTTCGTGACATTAGGTGTTTGTCAACTTATATATCCTTCAGCAAGTAACCTTTGAGGTTTCGGAAACTTTTCAAATCTCTTGTTTAGGATATTGCCTGAATTGAGGCGGAAGTTCACGCTGTATTAGGCCCAAGGCTACAAGGCATAGATTGAGCAATGACAGCACTACAACTGCCCGATAATACATCTCTACCATATCAAGTGGTTAGTTGAGGACCGGGGGCAATTGAATTGTCCACAAAACCAGACGCATGGATAGTCAAATCAAGCTTATTTGTGAAATGGGAGGATGAGCTGATGGGTTTGTGGTAGTACTAGTCACACAGCCGATCAAATTAAACTCGATAGTTGCTGCGAAAGCTGAAGCTATCTCTTGCCTAGACTGGAAAGCCTGGCATATCAAGGAAGGATAAACACGTTTAGCACTGCATCGTATCAACAGTCTACCAATCTAACAATTGTGTTAGCATCCTGCCGTTAAGTTCGTCTGGATGTGTCTTAAACAGGATCCCCTGTATTTGAAATGTTACAATCAAGTCTGAGTCATCAATCAAGTGAGTTTAGAATAGAATTGACACCCCATGGGCTCAAGAGATTTGATACATCAGGTGGAAAACTCAGGTTGTTGTGATGCCCTAATCTTCTCCCATTCAGATTCTAGCATACCGTAGAGTATCTCGTCATGCCACGCTCTATTGAACCAGAGGCTCTCCCGAATAATCCCTTCCTTGATAAAACCTAATCGTTCATAAACTCGTTGGCCCCGATTGTTAAATTCAAAGCATGTCAGGCCAACTCGATGCATGCCACCAAACTTGAAGGCCCAGTCGAGCGCCCAGTTTATCGCCTCGGGCCCATATCCCTTTCCTTGATATGCATCAATGATGTTGATCCCCAGCATAGTTTTACGGTGCTGGCTCTGCTCAACATCTGGTGCCGTTAGCGTGAGGATTCCAATAGGCACATGTGTAAAGCTCCTTTTCTGATCAGTGCTATCGTGGCTTCCCTGAGCTTGCGAAACCTCTGGGCCGATGGATTCCTTGCTGCTAGGGGTTTCTGGTGCGCTATCTGCTGGCAAGCAGATGACCACGGACAGTGCTTTCTTTCTCAGCATTGCAAGCAGTCCAAAAGTCATAGCCTTGGACTGCGGGCGAAACGCTTCAGGATATCCCAAGGGAAAGCCAACCGGGTCACCGGCGATAGCTTCATGCATAAAGGTGTGGTCAGCATCGTTGTCTTGGAGGGCTCGGTAGACCAGTCGCTTGGATTTCCACCCATTACGCATGGAATTGCGAATAGACTCCGAATCAGACATTGCAGACGGATGGCGCGAGAAAGATAACAATTGTGCTTTTACCGAGGCGTAGTTAGTCAAGTCTCATTGGCCTGTGGAAAAAGAGAAATACCAGTCTATCCCTTGGTTTGTAGTTGACGTGCAATCTACTGAAGCTGAAGAGAGCGCACATTGATGCTCATCTCCATCACGCCATTGTAACCCACCACCACAGCGTCGCAATCCCATGCATACGGCTGAAAAGAGGCATCCATCTGAGAGGTTTTGTGTACCGGCTATTTCTTGCCATTGGTGCCCGCCGAGTGAGTAGCTGCTCTCCCCTATTGGTGCCCGCACGTAGACACTCCAAAGTCTTATCTACCGTGCAAGTTGTGTTTAGAAGTTCTCTGAAAGCAGAGCCGCATTGATTTGCTTAGGAAGGGGATGCATTTATAGTGTTATGAATTCGGGTGCCTCCTGAAATTGACACATTAAATTAAACC